AAGAACTTGCTGTATGCCTTCCAGATCCATCTTTATGCTGCTTCTGGGAAGCTTGGATGCTCCATCCAGAGAAGAACTTGCTTTATGGCTTCCCAGATCCATCTTTATGCTGCTTCTGGGAAGCTTGGATGCTCCATCCAGAGAAGAACTTGCTTTATGGCTTCCAGATCCATCTTTATGCTGCTTCTGGAAAGCTTGGATGCTCCATCCAGAGAAGAACTTGCTTTATGGCTTCCAGATCCACCTTTATGCTGCTTGTGGGAAGCTTGGATGCTCCATCCAGAGAAGAACTTGCTTTATGGCTTCCAGATCCACCTTTATGCTGCTTGTGGGAAGCTTGGATGCTCCAACAGCCTTGTGCAGAATGTTGTTGTTCTTCAAGACAATGAATGACTAACCAGCTCTCTCACTATAAAGATCTTTGATGTAGGACCAATCTTTGGCTATGATGGCAGGTGACTGTCCACCATGGTACTTAAATAGGTGCTGCTAGGCTTATTACGCTTCACCATCTGCCAAATCTCTACATATTCTGTCTAGGCTGGTTTCCACACATTCTATTTATTCAACATGGGGAAATCTGAGCTCAGTGATGGCTGTATAGCAACTGTCCACCCATGAACTTTTAGGTAATCCCCTGTTCGATTGATCTCTACAGGGTCAATGTGGAGTTGAAATGTTCCAATTGAAAAGGCATTGCTGGATGATCAAATATATGGTCTTTTATGCTGTACTGCCCTAGTGAAGAATTTTGTTTCTACATGCTGTTGGTGTTCAGCAATGGTGCTGAGGCTTAAGAGGTGTATTAGGGCTTAGATGATGCAGCTGTAGTACATCCTGTAACTAGTTTTAACAAGTGGTTTGTATCTTTTCAATCTTATCTAGCTGTGTAGAACTCAAGTTGGATGATGAGAGACAAGTTCTGGTATTGAATGAAAGGTCTTTGTGCAGTGAATTGTGGAGGACAAAAGACAGATTTGAAACACTATTTTCACAAACCTCTGATTTTGAATCCCAAATGCACAAATTAAGAGGAATGCATAAAAACGAATCTGCAATTTATTTGATTTACAAGTTTAAGAATGAATCAAATATTTGTAGTGAAAAAGGTCAAAACTGTGAATAAATAATGTAAATTTAACCTATAATACACAGTAGGAAAACACTATAGAAATAATGTAGATTTAACCTATAAAACACAGTAGAAAAACACTATAGAAATAATGTAGATTTAACCTATAATATACAGGAAAAAAACACTACAGAAATAATGTAGATTTAACCTATAAAACACAGGAAAAAAACACTATAGAAATAATGTAGTTTTAACCTATAATATACAGGAAAAAAACACTACAGAAATAATGTAGATTTAACCTATAAAACACAGTAGAAAAACACTATAGAAATAATGTAGTTTTAACCTATAATATACAGGAAAAAAACACTACAGAAATAATGTAGATTTAACCTATAAAACACAGTAGAAAAACACTATAGAAATAATGTAGTTTTAACC